CCAGCTCTGACAAACCATCCAGACCCGCACTGTCCCAGGGGCCTGACACCTCACAACCTGTGGATGAGGCAACAAGCAGAAATTAAAAAGGGTATACTTGATTCTTTCACTGTTTCTTTTTAGTTTCAGTTTTACTACGAATGACTGAATAGTGCAGTGAATGACTGAATAGTTTTGTTTTCTGTCATTTAAATGACCCAGTCCATATGAAATTATTCAGACACATTAATCAACAACAAAGCAAACACACTGATCTGTATACTCAAAATCACACAGTACAATACAATACACTGACTACTGCCTACAAATAATGTCCCAGGAGATAAATATTTATATTTCACACAGCCTCACAAGGATAAACATAATATACACATTTAAAACATGTTATTTTCTCCAATACAAATCTTTTAAACAATGTCTGTTACAAATCATGGTATAGAAAGATACCAATATTCACATTCTTTAATCTTCAACCACCCCTCTTTACCATCTAGCTTCAATATGTAGTGGCAATTTACCACATCTTATCTGTGCAAAGACCAATCTCTTACTTTAAGGTCAATTATACTGAACATATAATATAATATAATATAATATAACATAATGTGCCACCAAAGGCAAAGAAGAAGACTGCCAGCAAGCAAACATGGATGTAAACAAATGCATGTTTATTAAGGAAAAACACAAATGCACAACTAACTTATGACCCATATACACACACACACACATACCTTGAAGGTTTAAAAGGGTCAAAGGTCGACAAGCCTCTCGGAGAGAGACCAGGATGTTGTGAAGTCCTGCTGAGGTAACGGACGGGTTTCCTGAAAGGTTCAGACTCACCAGAGACGGACATGAAGGCAGGCACCTGGACGGGGAAACCAAAGAGTTAAATGGAAAAACTGATAACTGCAGAGGCGAATACAGGATGACAGATCAAACCAGAAAACACATTTCACAATGAGATAGAGCTCTTGAAAAATAAGAAAGTTAAGTAAGTTAAAATGTCTAATCATTAATAGCATAATTCTTAACACGTATTCACTGAAAAATGAAAATATTATTAGTTGGTTTGTACATAATAATAAAAAAAACATAATAACATTATATTTGAGCTCAATCTCCTTTCTAGCCAACTAAAAAAACATGACATATCTCTTCTCTAATCATCTAATCTGCCTGTTGGAGTTTACCTGTCAGAGCGCTGGCTAGCAGCAGTCGATGCTGCTGCAGGAAGCGAGCCGTGAGGCTGCAGGCCTGCAGAGACAGCTTGGCTAACAGAGGGCAGCAGGACAGCAGACAGGACAGGGACTCAGACACACCATCACCTAGCGGATTCATACTGAGGTCGAGCTCCTCCAGACACTGCGAAAGGAAACCACAAACAGCAACTTGCATGAGAAAGAATTCAGATTCTGTGAAGATAAATTCATATTAAGTGAGCAACGTCTTATTCTGAGATGTGATGTGTTATTTGTTTCCACACTTTGGTTTCTGACACCATCTCAATCACGCTTTATTAAAGCGTCCTACAAAGTGAGACAAACGTTTACACCAACTGCATTAGGGAGGTACACTAAATTATGAACATAAAAGCCTTAACTACTCAACTGTGTGAATCCCTGGAGGATCATTTGTCTGCCTTTCTCATGAAGTGTTACGTCTTCTGATCACAGCAGTTCATGCAAAGGCTACAACAAAAAAAGGTGTTCTTACCCATGTCCTGTTTCAGTCACACAGAAGATTTTATCTTTTTGATATTCTGATATATCTAATTGTAAGAATTATGCCATTGTATTTTTGGTGATTCAATGTATACCATCATTCATTTTTAGTAAAACTAAAACTATACTGTTCACACTAGTGTGGATCCAAACGTGAGTTATTGGGGCAATTATTTTGAAAAGCTG